CTCTCTCTCTCTCTCTCTCTGTTAAAAAGTTTACATGGTGATTACACATTTTAGGCATTAACAGAAGGTTGGTTAGGAGAGTTTAATTACTTTTGCGAGCCTATCGATTATTCGAATACTCCAAAGGCCATAAAGGTAATTGTAAAAATTGTAAAAATAAGTCAGAAATTAAATTTTTACATTTAGAACTATATAATTTCAAATATATTGAAGTATATTCATTTATATTGTTGATTTAAATTTATTTATTTACACTGTCAAATGCATTTTGTGCAGTTTAAAGTAGTGTATTTATTATTTTTAAGTTTACATAAGAAAAATATGTTTACTTTCGTTTTCTGTAAAAATAAGATGTAAGGAAGGAAATCGACGGATTCATATTTATTACATATATCTGTCTACTATACAGGTCACCAGATTGTGCTGGTCGTATTTCTTAATCAAGATACTGGATTTGATGGACACCATCTTTTTCGTACTCAGAAAAAAGCAGAACCAAGTGACGTTTCTTCACCTGTATCATCACATTGGCATCTTAATGGGTGCTTGGGGTGCCGTTAAATATCTGCCTGGTGGTCATGTTACTTTCCTAGGTTTGTACAAACAAGTTCGAAAATTTGTTTTACAAAAGTTATTCATCTATATTCATGTTTTAATTTGAAATACATAATAAATTTAGCAATATAATTAGATAAATCTTGTCTTCTTTAATATAAAAATTACAGTCAATGTAAGCATAAGATGAATAATGTAGAGATGAGAAAATTTTCTACTATTTTACGACGATTATTAGCTAATTGCTAACGTTGCATTTCAGGATTACTTAATACATTTGTTCACGTAATAATGTACACGCACTATCTGCTAACGTCCATGAAGATAAACACAGGCTCGTGGAAGAAGTACATCACTCAGCTGCAGCTGGTCCAATTTTTCCTGATTACTTTACGCTATTTACAGTTAGCCTGGGTGAAAGATTGCGGCTTTCCAATGTGGCCGGCGTATGTAATGGTACCGCAGAATTTGTTCATGATGATATTATTTGGAGACTTTTATTATAAAGCATACGTCAAGAAAAAACCAGCGATCAAAACAACAACAACAAATACGAAAATAAACGGTGTCATCGCTGAAATCTCGAATGGAAAATCGAAAGAGCAGTAGATTCGAAATGCATTATCTCGTTTAATGCTTGATCTTTTTTTACTTTATTTTATTATTCACATTGTTACAAACGTTTGTCAAAATTAAATATTAATTACTCGCGATTCATAAAGATGATCTAATCAGATTATTATTTCACGCTTGTTATGTTAGTTCGAAATATCTTTAATGCACCAAATATTTCGTATCTCCATTTTGATCAATCTATTACATTACGCAACAAAAAATAAAATAGTAAATACTAGAACAAAAGTAATCATTTCTCGTAGTTCTTCGGGCACTAAATTATATGCGCCATCTACCATTTACCAAATTGCTCTATCAAGTCACAATTTTGAGAAATTTGTTTGCTATATATCGTCATATTGGAAAAATAACACGCAAATCATTAACATCTAAAATTAAGAGACTGTTTTCCTATAAAATTAAAAATAATAACAATTTATTTGCATAATACAATAGTAAAAATGACTATAAAATAATTTTTCGCAATTATACTTTCTCACATCTACAGCTTTTCGCTGATAATAACAAATTTTATAGCACATATTTCATTGCAACAATGTCATATAATTGTAACTCAACTAATCAATATGTATAAAATAGGTACAGAAATATCTAAGATGTAATATGGGCGATAGGAGCATAGTGTATGCATTTATATATATAAAAACTGTACTTATATATAGGTATATATTTTTTTTATTTTTCTTTGATAAATACAACTTACTTTTAGTATTATTTTTCAACTACTATATATATAATAGTTGGTAAACAATGTTAACTAAAACGTGAGTTATATTAAATATACATATACATATATACATATATTTTATATTCGTCCAATTATTATTATATAATAACAATATTAACAGGTTTTGCAACATTGTACGAAATATGATAAACATTAAAGTTAATTAAAGTTAAGAGAGAGATAATTGCGAGTTGTATAGCAATTTTTATTTTAACTTACAATTAGAGTTACATTTATTTTCAAAGACATTTATTGTATCCATATATACGTATTATACATATGTATATGTACACGTATATGTACACGTATTATGGTTATGTAAAAGTCATATAACAGATTTTTAATATTAATATTAATTAATAATTTTTAATATTGATATTAAATAGTAAATAAAATCGTTATTATTATAAAGTGTTATTTATATATGTAGTCATTTATAATCTTAACAATATCTTTTTTCTTTTTTTCTAGTATATAGGTATACATAAGTACATTTAATTAAAAATATATTTAATTATATTATAAATATAATGTGTTCTGTAGATAGATACGTATATTAATTGATATTAAGCCGTAATTTGTATTTCATCTACAATCTACATATAACTTAGAAATACTTAAAATGAAAGATTATAATAAATAATTTAACTTAGCTTTTAACATTTGAATTTTAACTATATTTTTTAATATTAAAATTTCGATATCGTGCTGTAGCATTAATTTTACAATAATTTTAATGGAAGAAGAGTGGGTATTATGGCTGCCCATTTACATTTTGTACAATTGTGTATAATTGTATAAATTGTGTACAATAATTTGTTAATAATCAATATTTACATGCAAAATTTAATGATTACATTTATTGAAGTATTGTTCAATCGACTTTAGATTCAAAGTTATGAAATATTTATTACTTACAAATTATTATTATATAAAAATTACAAAAATGTAACAAGACTGCATAATGAATCAAAGAGAAGCAGGGATAGTAATGTGGCCCCCTTACAAAAATAAATTTAAAAAATTAGTTTTGTTTAAAACAACGCAGTATTTGGTTACCAAAAAAATTAAATATTTATTACAGAAAGTGCAAATATGTATATACGTATATGTAACTTCTTTCATACAAGCTGCTGTATTAGAAATGTATGGTATATGTATCGTAAACTATATAAATTAACAATACATCTAACATCGACTTATCGACTAACTACTTTGAAAACCTTGAAAAAAGGAGTCGTATCATCAGCACATTTAGGGGGCTGCATTAGTCACTATGCTATTATTTAACTTTGCGTAATGAAATGTTTTATGTGCATAGCAATAAAATTTAACGAATGAAACATTCAAGTGTACACACACACACACACACACACACACATATATATATATATATATATATATATATATATATTTGTGTGATAATACACTTACGTTAAAGAGCAATGTGGGAAATATATGTTAAATGCTGAAAGAGTATGTGCTTTTGAGCATTTTGAAACATTGAAAATTTTCAATGTTT